TTCCCTACTTCCTTCTCCTCCTCCTCCTCCTTCACCTCCTCCTCCTACTTCTCTTCCTCCTCCTACCCCGACAGCCTGTAGCCGAGCATGGTTCAGGATAGCCTCCAAGAGGCATCAAGGAAGCCTCCGATCGTCTGGATGGGCTGATTGGGTCACGCGAAGCGTCAGTACGTACAATTTCTCCACAGTGCAATGACGCAATGACTGTCCGTTTGGGGTCCACGATGGCGAACAACGGTTCTGAAACGAATCCAGCACGGCCCAGCGCCCCAGAGGGCCTCCGAGCTCCCAAACAGGGGAAACCGAACTGCCTCTTTGAAGCCATCCACCTCCAGATGGCCACCGAGACAGCCAGTAGGCCTCCAAGAGGCCCCCCGGAGAGGCCCCCAAGAGGAACCCAGGCCCCAAGAGGCGTCGAAGAGACCCCCGAGAGAAAGACGCCCCGAAGAAGCTCCAGGAAACATCCAAGACTATGTTGCTCCCATCCCACTTCAAGACCACATCCCAGAAATAATTTCGAGCGCCCGGAAAAGTGTCGAAAGAGTGTCGAAACAGTGTTGGACGAGTCTCCCAGGGTCCGACACGTGAAAACCCTAGATTTGCAATACTTTTCTGGTGCTCGAAACTCTTTCTGGTTAGACCATCATGCATCCAGGAAAGCTCTCGCCTGCGACCCGCGCACGGCGGCAGGATGGGCCCGAGGCCACCAGATCCGCCGCCCCCGCCGCCTGCAGAGGGTGCTGGCGTGTCAGGCTGTGTGGGTGTCCTCCGCCCTTCCAAACGCCCCTGGCGTTAGGAGGCAACTACTGGGAGGCTTTCGTCGGAAAGATTAAGGAGGATTGAGCCCCATTCTGGCGCTATTACGCGGGAATGGGCCTCGGATTAAGCGGGATTGAACCGGATTAAGCGAGATTAAGCGGGATTAGGCCGGACTTCGGACCAGTACAAAATCTGAATTTGACCTCCAAGGACTTGCATCCCACCTGGCGGCCGTTGGTCCGACCCGCCGGCCCTGCGCAAAACCTCGGGCATTCGCCACGGCAACTTCGCGTAACTGGCGGCACTCAACCGCCAACACCCGCGGGCGGGATGCTGCCGAGTCGGCACGACGCGAACCTACCGAGCAAGGTGGGGCAAGCAACGGGTGGTGGATAACTTCGCAATCCCCGCAGCACCCTTTGGGGCGCGGTGGTCGGGACCTACTGACCCCGGGTCGATTCAAACTTGGGTCAGTCGGGCTCTGCAGGGCCCTGCAAAATCCTACTGGATGCTGTGCCCAAAGCCCCGGGTCGATGCGACCCTGGCCCTGGAGGATCCTGCGAGATCTGGTGCTCTGACAGACCCCCGTGTGCATTGACCCCCGTCTCAAGGCCCCCGAGGTGGCAGGTTGGGAGCGGATCAAGGTCCCTCTGGGGCCACTCTCCTGCAAGACTCGGTCCCACCCCGCGCCCCAGAGAACAGCATCTATTGGCTTCTCAGCGGGAGATGGCCTGACGAGGGCCCGAGATGGCCTCCGAGACGGCCACGGGACGCCTGCAAGGCGGCCAAGATAGCCCAAGCGCAGCCCAAGGTGGCTCCACCCAGGATGGCCACAAGAGGGTCATATGGGGGCATCGAGGCTGCGCCAAAGAAGCCCCGGAGACGCCCTAAGAGGGCTCCAACGCAGGACTCCAGGAGGCCCTCCAGGAGGCGAAAAGTATTTGAAGGTTGTTCACGTTGTGGCCCTACGATCGGCCACATAAGCAATCTGAAAAGGACAAGGAGCTACGGTGATTCACCGGAAACGTCTTTGATAACACTGGGAATCGGAAACATGAAGGGCTCTGAGTAGGAGTGGTAGGAGTATGGCTGGACCTAGGACAGAACAATATCCCTCAAGCACATGAGACCCTCCGACGGCCAGAACACACAGAACATCCGAGGGTACCTTCCCCCAAGATGCACAAGAACACCCAGCGAACACGAAGAACATTAGGGTACCTCGGACCAGCCGTAGGAGTAGGAGTCGGCGTGGGAGCAGGCGAACAAGAAAATTACTCCGACGGTAGGACCCCACATGGGCATCTGTTTAGCTTCCCCTTAGCCCTTTCCTCCTCTTCCTGGCGGAGACTCCTCTCGCCCTCTGCTCTGCCCTCTCGTCCTCCCTCTATATATCCTCTTCCTATTCCTCCGCCTCCTCCACCTCCTCATCTCCTCATCATCGCCTCCCCCATACTCCTTCCCTCCTCCTCATCCTCCGCCTGCATCTTCTCCATGTGCGCCTCCCCGCCCCCCTGGTCGGCGCAAGCAAATCGATGTTCCTCGGCGCCCTCGCCGCCTGGGCAATCACGCGCGCGTCGCACCAAACAATGGGTTACCACCCCCAGCCCGGAAGCAAAGGGTTACCCCTGCGCCCGATTCGGCCCCCGATGGGTTACCACCGGCGGCCCGGAGACAAGGGGTTACCCCTGCCCCCGATTCGGCCGAGGATGGGTTACCACCCCCAGCCCGGCCGCAAGGGGCTACCCCTGCCCCCGATTCGGCCGAGGATGGGTTACCACCCCCCGCCCGGCCGCAAGGGGCTACCCCTGCCCCCGACTCGGCCGAGGATGGGTTACCACCCCCGGCCCGGGCACAAGGGGCTACCCCTGCGCCCGGCCGCTGCCTCGTCGTCGTCGTCGTCGTCGTCGTCGTCGTCGTCGTCAGCTCCTCAATCACCCTTTCGGGCACGCAGGCCCATGACAACAGCAAATTTGCTGACGACCAGCTCAGACGAGGCTACCCGCAGTTCGCTCACAGACAACGCTCCCGCCTAATACTTCCCACGTATTCAAGCCGCAGGAGCTGAGGAGCCCAAAAAGCTCGCTCGGATGACCCGCCTCGGATTCGAACATGAAGTGCGGGTCCAATTGGGAGGGGGCTCCCGCCTGAGACTTCCTCGCGATTCACTCACAGACGAGGCTCCCGACTCAGACTTCCTCCGAATTCAAGCCAGAGGAGCCCAAACGTGACGATAGTTACAGGGTGCCGATGACCCGCCTCGGATTCGAACATGAGGTGCGGGACCCACCATAGGGAGAAGCTCCCGTCTGAGACTTCCTCGCCAGTCACTCACAGACGAGGCTCCCGCTTGATAATTCCTCCAAGTTCAAACCTGAAGACCCCCAAAAGTGACGACAATTACAGGTTGCCGATGACCCCGGTCGGATTACCAACATGAAAAGCGGGCCCCATAGGGAGAAAGTCCCGCCTGAGACTTCCTCGCAATTCATTCACAGACGAGGCTCCCGCCTGAGTCTTCCTCTATACTCGAGCCAGAGGAGCCCAAAAGTGACGACGGTTACAAGTTTTGGATGACCCGCTCGGATGACCAACATGAAGTGCGGGCCCCATAGGGAGAGAGCTCCCCCTTGAGACTTCCTCGCAATTCACTCACAGACGGGGCTCCCGCCTGAGACTTCCTCCATACTCAAGCCTGAGGAGCCCAAAAATGACGACAATTACAAGTTTCCGATGACCCGCTCAGATTACCAAGATGAAGTGCGGGCCCCATAAGGAAAGGGCTCCCGCCTGAGACTTCCTCGCAATTCACTCACATACGGGGCTCCCGCCTGAGACGTCCTCCATACTCAAGCCTGAGGAGCCCAAAAGTGACGACAACTACAGGTTTCCGATGACCCGCTCGAATTAGCAACATGAAGTGCGGGCCCCATAGGGATGGGGGCTCCCGCCTGAGATTGCCTTGCAATTCAGTCACAGACGAGGCTCCCGCCTGAGTCTTCCTCTATACTCGAGCCAGCGGAGCCCAAAAAAGATGACAATTACAGGTTTCCGATGACCCGCCCAGATTACCAAGATGAAGTGCGGGCCCCATAAGGAAAGGGCTCCCGCCTGAGACCTCCTCGCGATTCACTCACAGACGAGGCTCCCGCCTGCGACTTCCTCCATACTCCAGCCAAGCCTGAGGAGCCCAACAATCACGACGGTTACAGGTTTCCGCTGACCCGCTCGGATTACCAACATGAAGCGGGCCCCATAGAGAGGGGGTTCCCGCCTCGGACTTCCTCGCAAGTCACTCACAGACGGGGCTCCCGCCTGAGACCTCCTCCATACTCGAGCCAGATGAGGTCAACAGTGGCCACAGTTACAAGTTCTGGATGACCCGCTCGGATTAGTAACATGATCTGCGGGGCCCGTAGGGAGGGGGCTCCCGCCTGAGACGTCCCCACTATCCACTCACAGACGAGGCTCCCGCTTGAGACATCTTCCATCGTCAAGATGGGAAGTGAGTGATTACGAAGTGGTGAGTGAATGATGATGATGATAATGATAATGATGATGATGATGATGTTGATGATGATGATGATGATGGTGATGATGATGATGATGATGATGATGCTGATGCTGATGCTGATGATGATGGTGGGGAATGAATGAGTGGTGATTATGAATAGGGAGTCAGTGTGTGAGTGTGATGATGATGGTGATCATGAAAGCGTGTGAATGTGTGGTTGATGAAGATGACGATGATGATGAATGAAGGAGTGAGTGGGAGTGAGTGATGCGGAGGAAGAGAGGGGGTGTGGGTGAGGACTGCGCGGGGTGTCCAGAGAAAACAAGAACCCCACTTAGGATGTGGGGAATAAGGAGCCTGAGAGCAGGCGGAGCAGCAACACGAGGGGGCGCAGGATCAGGGAGGGAGGAAAAGAGGAGGGTAGAAGAACAGAAAAGTGGTACGGCCGACCCTGAGACAACATGACATCCCTCAAGAACATGAGACCCTCCACCCTGCCAAGCTGAAGAACGTCCAAAGGTATCCGCCCCCAGGATGCAGAAGACCATCCAGCGGACACGAAGAACATCAGGGCACCCTCCCCGAGCTGACCTCGACCTGCGGTAGAGGAGGGGGAGGAGGAGGAGGAGGAGGAGGAGGAGGAGGAGGAGGAGGAGGAGGAGGAGGAGGAGGCGGTAGAGGAATGAAAAGAACGATGACGAGGAGGTCGCGAACGGCCCCGCCCCTCCGCGTCGGCGACGGTCTGCATGCGGCAGACCCCTGCCAATGACCACGCCGTCACTGTGGCCCAGACGAGGTCGCAGTACAGGAACGCCAGCGCACCTCGGGAGGCACGGCGGTGGAGGGGGACGCGGCGGAGGGACTCCTCCTCCTCCTCCTCCTCCTCCTCCTCAAAGAAGGTAGAGAAGGAGGATCTGGAGGCGGACGAGAAGAAGGTGGAGGCGTGAGCGAAAACATTGGGAGCTCGAGACAGGCTGACGAGCAAGGCGTCGCATCGCGGGTCCCGTGGGTTTGCCTCGACGCGGCCGCGAAATGGCTGTCGCTGCCGCGCAGTGGCTGCGACGCTGCGCTGCGGAGGTACGACGCCACCCTCAGCCATGATTGCCCCGAGTGGTACCCCCTCACGCCAGGTGAGTGGCGGGCTCGATCTCTGACACGGCGTGGGTTTAAACGATCGGGCCTTTCCAATGGATGTAAATAGTCCCACACCGGCCGATTATGGGACGAGAGCGATAACATGGCACGGCGCTTCGCCAGAGCATCTGCCAACCACTGCTTCCCGAGCCCGTGGAAAAAGGCGGGACATCAGAAATCCTCGAAGCCTGGAACATCTCGGAAAGTCTCGTTATCCCGACTTCCTGCTCCTCGGACATTCGGGGACTCTGGCGGCATCCCACCTCGAACGCCCGCGCCAAGGGCCTGCCGCCGCGTCGACGCGGCGCAGACCTGCCGCGCCTGCACCGCGGGGTCGACCTCCACGGGTGCCGCCGGAGGGCAGGAGGGCGGCCACACCACCGACGGGCCCACGGCCCCCCCGGGCCCCCCCGGGCTCCCGGCTGAAGGATGGGGGGGCCGTGCCTGGACCTGCGACGCCCTGATGTTCTTCTTGGCAGCACTGCCGCCGCCGCTGCACAATCTCCCGTGGATTCGGGGGCGGCCAGGAGAGGGGCGTGCAAGAGGGGGGGCCGCAAATCATGGCCAGCGGCATGTGCGCGGTCCAGGAGGGGAGGCCAGGGACGTAATGAAATAAGAAGAGGCGCATTGAAATCTGAGAAAACATCATGGCCCACGCCATGATATCCACCCCCCCCACTCATCACTTTGGACGCCCGAAATGGGCACGGAAAGAATGGGTACAATGCCCGGCAGCCAATGTTATCCCAAACCAACGGCGGCCACTGTTGGGCAGGCGGCCTTCTGTCACAAATGGACACAGGCCGCGGCGACACCGACAGCGAGTCCTGTTCAAAATGAACAGGAACTGCTGTTGGTTCCCACTTCGTTCGCACCCGCGCTTCGCTCGTGCCCACTTCGTTCGTGCCGAATCACCACCCTCTTGGCCGCCCCCGACTGCTGGCCGGACGCGTCCAAAGCTCATTCGAGCCTCCAGGCCTCTGCCGCCGCCCGCCCGCTCTCGGGGCGCGGCGGCGGCCCTCTGGCAGCACTGCTCCGAAGCCCAAGATTGGCGGTCAACAAAATCCACCCCAACGATAACCACCCCGACACGCGAAATCGTTTGACAAACGCGCCCAAAGAAGGAATCGAACAGGGCAGGGCTGTTTAGTAAACGCCCGGGGCCGTTTCGTGAACGCCGATTGTCCGGTTGCGGGTCCCGCCCCGGAGGCCCGTGCTACGGGCGCCCACGGCGTCGACAGGACCGGAAACGGCCGAACCGGCAGCGCTGAACCGAAATCAACGGACTGGTCACAGCCTGGGGCCTGGGGCCTGGGAAGACGCAGCGGCGCAGCATTCGGACCGAACCGAGCCGAGGCGAAGGTAGCCGACTGCGAAGCAGCCGAACTTACCGGACCGCGGAACCTCTTGCAGACTAAGAAAAATCGGGATGCCCTGGTATGGGGCAAAAGACGTCTGGGAAACGGGCGAGTGCGGCACCACCATGCCCGCGTGGGTCCTCGAGACCGACGGACCGCCAGCGTAGACCAGGCAGCCGCTTCCACAGAAGTCCCCGCTATGGCCACGCATGATGAAGACTGGCCAGCCGCCGCCACGCTGGCCACTCAAGTTCGCGGGTGCACGAGGGGGTGGGGGAGGAGGAAACAAACGATTCTGTGACATTCAGACTCCAGCACAAATGCAGAAACGGGCCCGGGTCTCTTGGGCCCGTTCTTGGGCCGCACCAGTGGCGCCCAAACGCACTCCTGGTGAAACAACGCACACCAGCCAGCCAGCAAGCGGAGAGGGCCGCATGCTGCAAGCTGCCGCGGAAGCGTTCTCACCGCAGGCCACCCAAAGAAAACTCGGAGCGGGAGGCGGCGGTGGAGACGGCCCAAGTGGAGTCCGAGCAGGTGGGGTCGGAGGATCAGGACAGAATCGGGCTCCACTTCGAGTCGCATCGCCGATGAATCGGCGACGCGGCGCAGCCCATAAATACCATCTACCTCGACCCCACTCTCGGCGGCCTGGAGGTCGACAAGCGCAATCACGGGGAAGGCCAGGCCGAGAGTGGACGCCCACCACGCTCTGGACCCGAACCTGGGTCGGGCCCGCCAATGGTGAGCACGCTGTCCCTTCCCCGGAGGACTCCCCCGAAGGGTGTCACACAACGACAATATGCCGCTCGCACCACGCACGCTTGGCACGCAGGCCCCGAGTCGTCTTGCGGACAGACACTGGGGGGGGCTCGACAAAGGAGCCTCGGGAAGCCGCCTCCAGGACGCACGAATGGGCCCCCCTTCACTGTCGCACACAGCAGGCATCTGCACGCTGGCGCTGATCCCCAGGGCAGCCCATGGACCCCCCTGGGCCTGGGTCAGAAGGGGGGGGGGGAGGAGCGCATGCACAAGGCGAGTGCTCTGGCGTTGGACAAGCATTGGGGTGGGGGGCAGAAAACCCACCCCGATGATGACCGCCCCGACACGCGAGGCCTTCAGCAAACGCGCCCAAAGAAGAAATCGAACTGGGGGCAGGGCAGTCTAGTAAGCGCACAGGGCCGTTTCGTGAACGCCGATTGTCCGGTCCGGGTGGTTTTCCCTCCCTTGATGGGCGGCACGGAGCCCATCCCTGCGCATCGCCTCCTCGGGCATCGCACCCATCTCGTGACCTGGGCCCCCGGGGATCTCGACCCCTTCCCCACAGGGCTGGCTCTGCGCCCCGAGGCTGTTTACGGACTCGGAGGGGCCCTGGGACACACACACACACACACGAATTCACACAAATAACAAGATTCGCTCCCCCCACTTCCCATATTTTCCTATATTTCCTGGGAATCGACGATTCATTGTGTCTGTGTTTTTTCCCCTCCTTATGACTGCGCACGTACCCTCCAGAACCAGAAACCGTTGAAGACGGGCTGTGCCGATTCTTGCGAGACCCCCAGGTCCGCCACCGCGCTGGCAGCGGTTGGTGTGCGTCGGGCCCTTTTCGCCTCTTGTGAAGCAGTAGTTGGGGTCCCCCCGACGTATCGAGCCAGAGATGCGTTCCTGTGCGTGGCCACGCCCCCGCGTTGCTGGCAGTCCAGGCAGACAATTCGTGAACCCAAAGTCTGGGGGGTCCGTGGCCTCTCCCCTCCCCCCACGAGGCGTCCCCCCGCCCGCCCGAGCGCGAAGGCGGAATCGCGCGGCAACGCAACTTGATATTGTGCGTTGTTGGTTCTCCCTCTTCCTTAGCAAGCGCCGGCTTGTTTGTGCAGGAATAGCACAGCATGAGTCGCGACAGTTGGTATGCGAGATGAGCGAACGCAAATTTGGGAGAGATGGGAGATTGGACAAACGCCATGTGCGCGTATCTCCACATACACACACAGACCGGACGCAACACCTACGAAATTGGTTTGCACCAGTGCAACCGACGGGGGGCGCTTCTTGCAGCAAAATTGCCTTCTCCCACTGAGAGGAAGAGGACCCAACCATGCATATGGCGACTTCTCGTCTATTCTGTCACGTTCTATTGGTCCCCAACTTCCCCCGTCACCGGGGGCAACCCAAGCACCCACTCCGTCAATGTCGCTTCCAAGCGTGTCAAGTCAGGGCATCTCGGAGCCAGGGATGCCGAAGACGTCTCAGGCGAAACTGGCCTGAGCACCTCGCGGACCACGGCTTGGAATCCAGATTTGTGAGGACGTCTCAAACGAAACGGGGCAGAAAACAGAAATTCAGGGCATCTCGCAGTGGTCCAGGGTTCCGAGGATGTCTGGGGCAAAACAGGCCTGAGTACCTCGCGAACCACATCTTGGAACCCAGAGTTGTGAGGATGTCTCAAGCCAAGCGGGCCAGAGAACCTCAAGTCAGGGCATCTGGGAGCCCGATGTTCCGAGGATGTCTTAAGCGAAACGGGCCTGAGCACCTCGTGAACCGCATGTTTAAACGAGAGTTGCGAGGACGTCACAAGCCGAGCGGCCATAGCCATGGATTCCGAGGATGTCTCAGGCGAAAGGTGCATGAGTACCTCGCGAACCATATCATGGAACCAAAAATTGTGAGGATGTCTCAGGCGAAACGGGCCAGAACATCTCAATTCAAGGCATCTCGAAGTCTGGGGTTCCGAAGAGGTCTCAGGCGAACAAAATCACGAGGATGACCCAGATGAAACGGGACTGAACATCTCAGGTCAGGAAATCTCGGAAGCCAGGGTTTCGATGATGTCTCAAGCGCAACGGGCCTGAGCACCTCGTGAACCGCATCTTCAACCCAGAGTTGTCAGAACGTCTCAGGCCAACCAGTCAGAGAGAGGGATACCACATGCCCGAGTAATTACCTCGCAAACCACATCCTGGAGCCCAGTGGTGAGAGCGTCTCAAACGAAACGGGCGCAGAGCACTTCAATTCAGAGCATCTCGAAGCCTGGGGTTCTGAGGATGTCTCAGGCAAAACAAGCCAGATGACCTCGCGAACCACATCTTGGAATCCAGAATTGTGAGGACGTCTCGAGCGAGACGAGCCAGATGGCTCTCTGTGATCCACGGGGCGCACCCACCTCTTTCGAGGGGAACCCCTCCGCGGCACCTCCCTAAGCACCGCCATTGGGGTTGCCCGAGTCGCCCCAGTCTGTCCCGGGCGACCCGGGCACTGGGGCTGAGGGGCACTGTCCCCCTCGCCAGCCAAGGCGAGCCCTGGGTGGGGCCCAAAACAGCGAGGACCATACCG